AGCCGTCTTCGGATGGCCCACCCGTTTGAACTAATAAAGTGCCAGGGGCCTAAGTGGTCACCTTAATATTAAAAAAAAAAAAAAAAAAATTAAAATAAAGTCACATCAAATGTAAAAGCCAATAGAAGATGTAAAGCCAACATTTATAAAGAAATATTTAAACCAAGCTCCAAGAAGAAAAGGCAGAAGTAGTAAAGGGCTTTTTTTATACTCTTGCTTATAATTACGTTATTACATAATGACATTATTACATAATTATGTTATTATATTTTATTGAAAGAAACTTTTTTTTTGATTTTGATAATCTTGCATCAGATTATAACCAACACATGTCAGATGATCAATCATTAGATGACATGCATCACTTTGAAATCAGCATCTGATATGTGTTAGTTTAGATCTGATGCGAGAATTGATCTGAGACACAACATATATATTGATATAAGAGACTAGCTAAAATAAATATATTATCTATTTTGAAATAATAAAATCTAATAAAAGTAAATTATTATTAATTTCTCTGCTTTTCTCATAAATATAATAATTTTATCTTTGCTTACTTTTTATTTCTTCAAATACAATTATTAATTTGAAAGAAACATTTTTTTTTTGGTATCTACCATGAATCATGAACAAAATTTGATTTGCAATATGATAATCTATGATTGGCAACCTTGACATTAAAGACTTGATTGAGTGAATTATACTTGTGGTCTAGTTTATAAAGTATGCCATTGGCTTCTTTATACATTTCCAGTTAAACATGATATATTAGATCTTTTGATGTTCAAAAACTAACTCACACTGCATATTTCTAGTATTCCATAATAATACTTACCATTATGTATTTAAAAATTTTCACTATTGGCTTTAACTTTTTAATGCGAGCCAATTTGATAGGTATCTCAAATATTATCTCAGGAAAAACAACATAAAAGTTATTTATTAAATCTTTTAATAACATCTGCCCATAAACACCAGAAATTTGCAAAAAGAAATTTTTGTTTTATTCACTTGCTCCTTGGTTTAGTTTCAAAATGGCATTCAATATTGATTGATTAACTCTGACAGAATGACAGTGATCCCCAATTGCTTTTGCATTAATACAATGTGCCAAGAATTCCCATTCACCAAGGTCTGTTCTTGAAGAACTTAAGAATCAGACATCACATTTCCGTCCCTTTTCGCAATTTGTAGATTGGCTTATAAAACAGAAAGATACTCCTCTGTGTATAAATTTATGATTTATACATTAGCTAGAATCAAAAAACCAAAAAAGTATGCTTAGTTATTATTTGCAATCTATTCTGAGGCTTTCCTTAATCCTTTCATGATATAAGAGCATGTCTTTATGATAATATCTATTTCTGTATAACCCTCACTACAAACTAACAAATCATCATCATCTTTTACTTCGAAAAGACTATAAAAGCAGATAAGAGACAAATCAAAACAAGCTACAAATATTAAATACAAATAAAGTAAATATATACAATTCATTGTATATCTTGCTTATTTTATAAATACAAGAGTTGGTTGGCGAATTGGTGTGTTTTTCGAGGCAATATTTGTATGCCTTATTAGGTCCTCCCTTCTATATCATCTATGTATAAAAATGGAAATCTTTGTAAGTTGAACCAACTATACATAATGCATATTTACAAATATACCTTTTCTACATCCGCAATGAATGTGTTCACCTCCTCATCTAACACAGGAACTGTTAAGACTGCTACATGATCTTTCACCATGTGCTGAATATCAATTTCTGAAAACCAATCTTGCATATGTGCTGAAAGATCTATAACTTTTGACATACCATATCTCAAGGTGGCTCTTTCCACTAAACTTAGTGTTTCTTTTTTTTTTAAGACTTCTGCACATTGAGATATATTTACAGAAGTCTTGTCTCTCTTTCTCAACTAAAATTTTAAGATTCAGTTGACTATTTAGAGGTGATTCAGATTTAACATTGGCGCCACATTTGTGGCAAAAATTTGCTTCAGAATAGAGTTTGGGAGTAAATTTCATTGACAGATTTTCCTGAGAGTAGATTCCATTTTTGTGTATTAATTGACACAGAACTTAGAATACTGTCTAAATCAGGGTTTCCTCACCATTATCATCAAATGTCATTTGTGAAGAAGAAAAGCTCACTTCATCACTGTCACTTGCTAGAATGAAATTTGGTTGTGATGGTGGCTTTGGTAGCACTGTACCATCAGGAAGGATGCTTCCAATTTGTGAAGGAACTCTCACTTTATTACTATCACTTGGTGGAGTGAAATTCGATTGTGGTGGAGCTAGTAGCGCTATACCATCAGGAAGAATACTTCCAATAATGCTCACTTCATCACTACCACTTGGTGGAGTGAGATTTGATTGTGGTGGAGTTGGTAGCACTGTACCATCAGTAAGGATGCTTCCAGAATGATTCTTCTATAATAAGCATAATATTAATTATAAAAATAAGTGTCTCACTATAATGATTATTATTGGTCATTATAGACTTATCTTTGAGCGAAGTTTGCTTTCCGGTGGTCTTGCATACTTGATAGTAAAATTTCAAAAGACAATGATATAGGAAAACGAATAATTTGATAAGCAAAATGAAGGTTATATTCTATCTTATCTGGGGGAGTTGACTGAGTTGACTCCTCGTTTGGATAGGTTCACTTGCTTCCAATTATTGGTGCATTGTTATTCTGATTCAAAATAAAATTTATCTTTATCTCATTCAAAATGGAATTGGCCTTATTTCCCGTAAGAGACTGGTCAACAGCAAACTGAATCTGCAAGCCGTGAATCAAAAATAAAATTGATAAGAACGATTGACAAATTAAAATTATCGATTACAGGACACACCTCAGCTTGCTTCAACTTCATTGTGTCTACTTCCAATTTGACATTATTCCAGAACATCCATACATCATCCCCTTGTACTTGTTGCTTTAGAAGTAGCAAGAGAATGATTAGTAAAAGGGCTACACCGAATCCTGAAGACAAAGCAGATAGTCAGTGACTATGAATGAACATAATAGTTCTTGGCACTGTGGCATAATAGACACTGGCATTCACATAGACTTGAGAAGAAGCCCACCAGAGATAATACTCCATTATTAGCCTGGTGCGTAGGCAGGCACTTTAGGTGGTTGTTCCGGTATAATAACCCAACTCCTTCCTATCCTTTGCATTCAAACATCAACTTAAATAAAAAAGATACTCGCCTTTAGTAATCCATTTTTGAGAAGGGAGGTAGCCTTTTTCCACTTTTCGTACGTTGTACTTTCTGCAATCCATGATACAAATTTAGATATCGTCAGGTGCTCAATTTGCTTATCGTAAGTGAAGTCAGATTTAGTTTTACGGAAACTCAGAATAGAAAGGAGACAGAGAGTATCGGGATCCAAGGCTGTCTCCCAACCTTCAAACTATAATTATATGTTCACATTTTTTTTAAAGTGGTGAAATTCGTAAACAAACGAAATGATTTAAACTTCATAATATCCACTGAATGCTCACCTTTTTCATTTCGAAAGTAAACATTTTCATTTTAGACATTTGTGACTTAAGCTACTATCGCGTTTTTTTTCATATAATGAGTGCTGATGGGTGCTGCCAAGAGAAAAGGGATACTTTGATCTATCGGTTTATATGTCTGTCTACAATACATTACACAATTTTTATAATATAAAAATTGCGTAATGTATTGTTGATCAATTTTTGCAGGAGCTCTGTATTATGCTAAAATTGAAAGCCCGTTTAAACCGATAAATCAAAGTATCCCTTTTCCCTTGGCGGCACCATATATGAGTAGAGCTTGTACCCGTATAAGAGTTATCCGGGTAACCCGGATTAATTATCCATAAGCATGATAATTGTTAAAAAGTGACGTGCATCTTTGGCAGTTATTCAATCAGATTTGGGACATCTGGTAAAAAAATTGACCGAATGACTATTTGGCCGATTCGATATATTTTTGACTTCGGTAAGCAAAGGTAACGTGAGTGCTAACCAATCAAATTTCGAGTTTGATTTCGCCGATAGTCTTAATGAGGTTTTTAGCGTAAAAGGAAAAAAATATAGATAGTATAAAAATATGAAATAGCAAAAACTTTTATTATAATAATGAATACTATATTACCCTGACATTACGCTTGACCGTTATACAGTATACGTACTCTCGTTATAGTAAGAATTTTTTTAGAACAAAATCATTATTAATGAATTTTTGTTCCAACAACGTTATAATGAAGTTTAAATCATGACATGTATTGACCAATAAAATTAATGAAATAGTTGTCATAGTCGACTATATTACTTTGTGAACTCTTGTTAATTAGATTTTTGGGTGTATAAATTTATTATTATCTCGATATAGTGAAGATTTATATATTTTATTATCATCTTCACTATATTAAGAGGCTCTCAATATAGTGAACTCGATATAATGAAGAAATTTTCACAGCCCAAGTGCTTCACTATAACGAGAGTAACTTGTATCACATAAATTTTGGTTTCCTTCACATAAAAGCCTCCCCGATTATCAGGCCAATGTCTGTACAACAGACCCAGATCTATTAAAGGTTTACAACGTACACAAGACCCGGTATGGTACGTAAATCTAGTTGGATAAAAATTTTCCAATCAACTTTACTCTTCTTTAAAAAAAATTTTTTAAAGATGAAAATAAAGAGTATCTTTTACAACATTATCCCCATTTTTTCACCTTAATAAAAATGTCAAAAGCTGCATAGATAAACATATAAATTTTAACTCTAATTTAAATCAATTCCAAAAATTATTCCAAAAAATTATTCCAAAAATTTTTCTTTCATACTGTATTTATTCAAAAAACCTAAAAACATATACAAAAACCCAATAATATATTACAGTATATATATATATAAATAATAATTTAAAATTTCTTTAATTCTCATAATAATTATGCAAAATAGATATTGGCATTGAATTTATGCCTAAAAATCATTCTTTTTCATATTGGGCTAGAGACGCTTCAATAACACTTGCGAAAAAGGCAAGTGTCAATTTACAACAAAAAGTTTAGCTTTCAAGAATTGACAATTGGGCACACACATATGATATAACAGTTTGGCGACGACGACTTAAAAACTTCTGTGCTATTTGTGATAGCTGGTGAATCTAATAATTAAATAATAATTATAACGATCGTTACTACAGAAACATTTGTGAAAAATTGGTCATTCATTTTAATGTTAAACAAATGGTTAAAAATAATACTATAACAAATGAAAAAGAAAATTAATATTAGTCTATATATATATTTATAATTATATTCAAGCTTATCATTGTGATTAGTTGATTTTTCAACAGACGATTTGGAACATTAAAACCACCAAGCTTTCATTTTTAGCTTTGAATTTTATTCATCTTTTGAGATATTTTAAAAAAATTTTTTTAAAAATGAAATACATTTAAATTATTAAGTTTTTATGAAATACGTATGTACTGTACATAATATACATAATAAAAATTATATATAATAAAATTATTCATGACAATAACTTAATACTAACTATTAAATAACGTTAACCTCCGTCATAAACTACAGCCTGCGTCATAGGCCATAACCTTGACAAGGTTATTAGTCATTACGGCGAAAGCCGTAATAGCTACAGCAGAGTTGCAATTGCCGATGGCTGTGTTTCTATTGTCGTGATAATAGCTTCCGAGCTTGTCGCAAAAGATGTAATATTTTTATATATTTAGCAGCATCATTATCTAATAAAAGTATTATTCATGTTTAGTATTTATGCAAACTATGTGAATAATATAAACACAACAATGCGGTAGACCGATATAAATACCATCAACAATCTTTTGCTTTTCTTTGTTTGCTTCGACTGGTGGTGGATATAATAATTTAGCACTCATTATAATCTCTCCAACATATTTATCACCCGCGACTAGATCAAAAACAATGTGCGTGAATATTGTGATTAAAAAATTTTTGATAAGCATTAAAGAATTCATTCTTGACTGATAGTTACACATAGAATCAGCAACAGCCTTCTCATTTTCATCCGAAAAAAATTCATCGAAATTATCAGAAGAATATGTTTTTAACAGTTCTTGTATTTCGTTTTCTGCTTTCTAAAATATAGAAGATAAATTACTATAAATGTTCAAAATTGGGAATAAATAAAATTGTATTTCCAATTTGCTAATTACAGTCATTGATTCAATTTGGTCTGGTGTTAAACACTCGCCGGATCCATTATAATATAATAGTTCTAGTAAAACTTCAACGGCCATCTGTAAAAAAAAATATATATATGCATGTTAAACAAGCTGATACAGAAATTTCACCAACTACAAATAAGCAACTTTCAATTGAAGTTGCCTATTTTGTAGTTAATGTATTATTATGTAATGGTGTAGTAAATTATGAACCTGAAGTGTTATTGCTCGACAGCGGTGATAATGTTGACACAATAACGCCAGAACCAATCTAATTAATTCTTCTCGATAATTTCTTGCATGCTGTGGTCCATTATTATATACATCGTCGCTGGATATCTTTATTGTGGGTATTGAGACGGATCCATATTGTGGACCACCATCATCATCATCAATAAATAGCCCACGCACAGATTTGTAACTTGGAACATTAAAATGTGATTCATCATTTCCGTCAATGAATAACGGTTTCACTTGAGAAGCCGATGTGGAATTTGACATTATTGATTCAGTATCAAAAGATTGCCTTCTATCACTTATTGAAGCATCATCAGGCATATATTCATCTGAATCACTTATTAAAGTATCCTGCAAAAAAAAAAAAAAAAAAAAAAAAAAAGACAAAAAAATTAGAAACGAATATTTCATCAAAATATTAGTCCACCAAAAAAAAAATTATTTACCAATAGACGACGCGTTTTTAGCAACTTTTGGGGGTACACATCAGTTGCTATTAGAACATCAGGCGCTATCGCATGATTTCGACATGACATATAAAGTAAACAAAGAGCAGGGAGAGTATTCAGGTCGGGATGTTCTGCAGATATATCTGGAATTAGGAAGTTCATAATGGATTCTCGATATAGGTTCCTTCAATAAAAAAGAATAAGTCTCAATAAAAAAGAATAAGTTACAATGCATCAAATGAAGTTAACAAAATATAAAAGTTACCTTCGGAGCGAGGGTTTCGGTCGTTCAAATCTCGTTGGGGGTGAGCATGAATAGTCCATCATAGCTGGAGAGTTCGAAAACAGCATTGCTATCATGTCAGTAACTAGCGGGGGATAACGGAATATATGTAAAACATGACACAGAAGGGCAAGGGCAATAACAGAATTGATTCGTATTCTCTATTTTTGAAGATTTCAATAACTTTATTAATGATTTGCTGTCATAACGTAATTATTAACTGAAAAAAAGAAATAAACAATACCTGTTGGGATGGTAACAACTTTTTGTCAACCAAACTGTCCGCATATATAGGTTGTAATAATAAATCAATCAAACGTGTTGTCAAAACAGAGTTCATCTTCTCACTATTAAGATTTATTATGTCATTTATATAATAGAAATTATCACAGTGTTCGGCGATATAATAATTAAATTTTGAATATTGCTTGTAGTATCTAAAGTAATGATATATGATAGTCAGTAAAATCGTAGTCAATCGTTTAGACGACAGAAGATGAATAGCATACGTGGGTGAAGTAATTATATCATTTAAAATTGATGCGTGATTCGCAATGAAATAAGTCAGATTTGAAAAATATGGAGCGGCATTTCTATCCAAGATGAAATCCTGCATCTGTTCGTCATTAACTGTGAATCAAAAAAAAATAAATAAATAAATTTTTTTTTTTAAAATTAGAAATAATGAAAGAAGCCTGATAATAAAATACCCGCAAATATATTTAACGTGACTGTCCGAACAGCAGCTCGAACCATGCTTTCATCTGAATTAAAGAATTTAGTGGCTTCCGAATATCTATGGAGGAAGAGAAGTTATTAAATTTCTTATACTGTAGTATCTTCCACGTAAAGGAATAAGGTATGCTTACAAAGGAAAATCATCTAAATGCTGTTATTACATGAAATTCAGAATGAATTAACGCTCATATAATTTGTAAACAAAAGACATATGAAAAAATCATAAGGAAATACCTCATTGAAAAAGAAATAAAGAGTGTTCATATCAAGTTTGAATGAAAGGGTACGAAGAAGGTAAATAAAGTAGGCCAAGATTTCATCATTCGAAAAATCGAATTTGTGGCATATAATCCGATTTATATAGTTATTTGACAACAAAAAATCTGAATATGATATATATAATTAGTATAATTTGAGAGTTGAAAAAAAGAAAACACGTAACCATGTTATAACATTTTATGAAATAAACTCACACAATGATGTCAAATCATGTATATTTTCAAATAATATGTTCATGGTCTGCAGTAATTGCTTCGTGACTTGTGGACTTTTGGTATTTTCCAGAATGGTCAAAAATACATAATGGATGCAATGTTCAAAAAAATATCTAGACAAAATTTGAAAATTAACGATAAGAAATCAATCTATAATCTATTCACATAAATAATTCGAGTACGAAATATGAAAGAAAATACATACTCGACAATTGCAGGTTTATTTTGGTCACCTATAATTATATATATATATATATATATATAATTAATTAATTATTACCAAGAATAAAATCGAAATTATGGATAAACAACAGGTCGTTTCATACCCCAAATCAAAATTTGAGTAATTTCTTTCATCGATTCAGTCATTTCATCGTCGTCGCCACCATGCTTTGAGGCATTTAAAAGCAAAGCGCTTAGGCGTCTGAATGGCGAGACAAAAATAATTAGATATTTAGTATATATGATTTAGGAAACTAATAGTAAATTCGTCTTTATTAGTTTTTGTTGCTACATGAACACGACTTTCATCATTACATCATTATAATGAAGAGAACAATGGTTCTTCATAAAATGTAAACACGAATGACAACCACAATTCGCGGGGACAATGGTAGAATTTCAGAAAATATCTCAATAAAATCTTATTAACCGAAATTCGATATTTTAAATAACCACTAGCTACAAGTAGGATAATCCAAAGAAACATGCTATGTTTCCGAATCAAACGATCCAGTCTTTCTAGTACATGAATAACTATTCACATTATAAAAAATATATGTATATTATTGTGAACACTTACTTTAAATTTTCAATCGAATATTTCTCAAATTTTTGTTCTCTTGTCCACCAAAACCAACCCATTACTTGGCTTTGCCTACGTACTTTTGAATAATCTGGAGTTTGTGATGCAGCAAGAAAATTAGCATCAATATAAGAAGTAAACTCATTTGACTGAAGCCAAGTCATAACTTCTTTGGCCATTTTTTTTTTAATTTTTTTTTTAAATTATGAATTATAGTCTATAATTTTCACAACGAGGGTATAAATCGCGAGCGTTTAAGTTCAAAGAAAAGGTTGCAAGGTATAGTAAGGGAAATAAGGTTCTCTAATCTAAAGTCAACTGTATAACAGTAGCAATATAAATACCTGTATATAAATATAATATGCACGAGCAGTTGGAGGCAGTGCTTTCTGTTTTGCAGAATTTTATATAAACTTAAAAGCCCCTTTATATATATACGTAATGTCCGATATCATATTATTACATCGTTAATTCGGGCATATTTTTAATATGTAATCCCATGACGGCTCTTTGTAGCAATGATTAACTACATATTGATTAACCTTTTTTTTTTTTTTGTAATCCTGTAATCCCCAAATGAACTATAAATGCGTTCATCTAAAAGGTTACAATGTCAATGTAATTAACCAGAACAACATAATAAGATATTCCTAATATTTAATGCATGTAGCCAATATGTAGTCTTATGCACGATTTTTTTATAAGACATTAACCCACGTTATCACGTGTAAAGCAATAATTGAAGCATGAAACATGAAATACACGTTAAAAATTCCTAAAATTTCAAAAACTTCCAAGGGTCTCTCGTTTTACAGTATATCGACATTGATGAAAATAATTAATGAAAAAAAAAATCTTTTGTAAGCTAGGCGTAACCTCGTATTACGTAAAATGTATATTTTTACATATTCTTCGATGAAAATCCTAGAATTCCTGCGTTACGATAAAGGAATTTCACTAAAAAGATTGTATCATAGAATAAAAGGCCAAATGAGGAAATAAATTTTATAATTTATAGATTATACAGATCATAAGAACTGCATCTACAAAGAGGTTAATTTTGACATGATCGATCGAATTACGAATTTTATAATTGATCATCCACTCACGCAGAAAAAAAAATTTTTTTAGGAATCTTAAAAAAATTTTTTTATTAGATCCCTTTGTGATCAAGTGGCTTCTACGAAAAGAGTATTGATAGCCTTTAGTCATCATCTATAAAAGGAGAACTATTGAGCAAAATCTGGAGGAAAATCCCATAGCGATAACGCCATTAACAATTTAAAGCCAGACTATGGAAATACCAAAAGGATGAATAATGGAATATTGAATGTATTGTGTTAGCACCTGACGCGTCGTTAAAGTGTGTGATCCTAAGAATTACAAACATTGCAAACATATTGCAGATCATTATAATTATCCGGGGAGGTTAATTATAAAATTTGATCGACATTTTTCTTTCCGTTTTTCTGCCATGCGATATTGTCCGATATTGTTACTGTTTGTTACCTGCATCATAAAAGAACCTTGTACAGGTCATCGGGTCAGTAAAATTTTTTTCTTGCAAGTTATCGCGTAACAGTAAAAAAAATTCTTAACGTTTAGTGAATATTTAGGTCAGAATTTGAGAGAGCATTTAGAGAGGTAGAGATTTTGGCGACTGGTAAAGAGAAATACTGAAATAGGTGGCAACTTGGAATGATTTTGACCTTGGAATTGCCACTTGAGCCGAGCTGCGAGCCGAATGGCTAAGTCGTGCCGTTTAGTGGTCTAATAATAAAGTATTATTTCGTCTGCTAGGAAAAAGAAAGTTTGAGAAAAATGCGATGAAGGCTCGTGTTACACGGAATTTCAATTTCAGAATTTTTTTATTTTTTTTCCAAATTTTTTGTTCGAACAATGTCACATGCTTGAATTCAATTCGCTAAGTTAAATTGACAATCTTGTTATTTTTTATTTTTAGAACGTTATATATATATATCTTCAAAGTTAATTTTTTCAGATCTAAAACCTTAATATTTTATTAAGCTAATGTGCAGTATAATAAAAATTTGTACAGTATAAAAATAAGAATATATATAAATAAGAATAGGTATTTTAACTTGAATTACGTAAAAATCTTGAAATTGATCAGACGATTTTTTCTAGCAGATTACCTAAATGAAATTGGATTATATACTTAGATTACTTTTTGTTATTGTTATTGACATGTGGTTTAACATATGACAATTAATCAATGAAATTGCATTATAAACAATATACAGCAATAAGATTCTTTAAGTCAGTCGTAATAATCATATCGTTATTAAAACGTTCGTGCTCTGAAACTTTATAAAGCTCAGAAAGTAGTTATATTTTATTAAAAAGAGTTTATTCAATTATACAAGATTTTTTTTTTTTGGTCAATTTAGTTTAGATTTCATGATTAAAACCAATTTTTGAAAAATTTGCATGCAATAAAAAGAGACCAAACTAATAACGTAAATTCTAAAAGATAAGCTATTCCCAAATAGCGGGTTTAAATTTTACTGATTATATAATGTATAGTTAAACCTCTATACAACTTTATAAATATACACCCGCATCTTATACCTCAGTTCCAACTACTAATTTAGTATGACCAATATGATGTTATTGTTTATACGTATTAGTGTTAGCATGTGAATTTTTTGTTGTAATATTTTGCATAACTGATGTCATTCTATGACAAAATGTCAAGGCAAAAATTTTATATGTAATATCACATGAACAATAACAAAAATTTTCGTTTTAGCTTAATCGCAAAGACTATTTGAATATACAAGCTGCCCGTGTAGTTTCAGAACAAGCATTCCCCATAGTAGGTCTCACTATCTCAACAAAAAATATATTAAAAGACGAATCTGAATGGCAATTCTATGTTTAAAAAGTTGGCTTCGAAGGGAATTTGCAAATTGGGATAGTTAAACAGCTAGTTAAACATTTATGCGTTTAGTTTATGGTATTAAATTAGCTTAGCATATAAATAATGTATGTTTTATAATATATTAAAAATTTGCCACTGATAAATAAAATTTTATGTTGACTTTGAAAAATTATTAGTTGTGGGTAGGGATATTAAGTCGTTTAACCAGGTCGTGATCTATTCAATTGAACCACTAGTTAAACTAGTTAGTCAGTACATTAAAATCCGGAGTACAATATAAATTCTAACCACCTGGTCAGACTACCTAACATCCCTAGTTGGGGACCGATTCTAGGACCGAAAGATGGACTGACTGAACCAATAAATACTATAAAATCGGTCCAAAGGGGACCGATCCATCACTACTAAAATCCAGTGATTTAACAATTTTGATTTAAACCCGATTTAGGGCGCCTTAATCGATGGTTAAAAAGTGTTGGGAAATAGTTTTACTTATCGGAAAATATTTTAAGTGGGCCAATTGTGTTTATATCATTACAATGGATATTCGCAATTTGATAAAGTTTATTACGTAATTCAACCTTTTTTTTATTGGCAAAAAATATAATGAGATTATCATTTCAATTTGCAACCATTTTATTTACCATTTTACAACAATCTTTTTTTAATCTTTTTTTTATCCGTGGCTTGGCAAAAATTGCAATTGATCGAGTATTCAAAGAGATCATTCAAGTAACTTTGTCATGGATCCTCATTCTCGATGTCGAAGAATTACTTATACTGAAAGTTTCATGAAAAATAAAAGATATAAGGAAGCCCGAAAAAAATTGCAGATGCTTACCATCTCTCAGCCTTTACTCATATGACAACAAATTCAACTATTCAATCACTAATTTCATAATTTGGTACAATCAACCCAATATCCGTTACTTTGTTGGACGGCTTTCTTTTTTCCTTTATTTTTTGTTTTATTAATTTTTGACGATAACACGTGATAAATAGAAGTATCAATTACAATCTTTATTTTGATTGATTATATCGTTACAATCTAGTTAATCACATCGAAGATAATGTTTATAACTGTACACTATTGCGATCACTAGTAATCACATCGTGAATGAGGTTTGAAACCGCCATTAATAAAAAAATTTACAAGCAAAAAAAGTCGAGAATATGAAGAAATATATTGTAAAACCAATAATTTTGGTGCTATATATGACTTTAATGCTTTAAATTCTTACACTTTAAAGCCATAAAACATAGTATTATGTTAATTGTTTGGGTTTGTGTTGTTTGCTTTTTAGTTGTTAGCCCTAAATACTCGCCATAATAATATTATTTGCTATTGTATTAACATGATCTTTTTTTGATCGTGAAAAATTTTAAAACTTAAACACATTCCAAAATATGAGATTAGTTATATTTTGATCTCTTGTGGAGTCTCTCTTTTTAATGAAAACCGGAAAGATCAAAGATCAATTATACTATTAACTAATATGGATTATTACAGTACACGACAATGTATCAACATCCACCACACAACACTTTACGGGCATAACACCGTAACTGATAATAAACAATGCATAACTGGAAAACTCGAGCTACATATAATCATCAGGAAAATTTAAAACCTGATTATAATCTATACAAACAGTTAATCAATTGTAATCGATTAATTTTTGACTGATTATTGTCTCCGATGGTGTTAATAATTGATTTAAATCAAAATTGATTATTTAAAATATTGGTTATAAACGATTTAAATTATATTAGATAAAAATCTTTAACATATTAATTAAAATCATTAAATTTTAATATATTATAACCAGGTTTTATGATATTGACAATATGAAAGATATTTTATTGCATCAGCGAGATGAATCTATAGGCTCATTCACATTCGAAGTGTAGCTAATTTATTCTATCCACTCAATGAAATGACGTAATTTCATCTTAGAGTTTTGTATATCAGATATATGTAGGGTTGTTAATGGAGTACTCCAGACTATAATAAAACATATAACCCGCCTCTGGAGTTTTCCGGAGTGGGTTATATGTTTATTATTGACTGGAGTACTCCATTAACAACCCTAGATATATATAATACATATAAAACTTGTCCTTCTAGTAACAACCAAATTTAATAATTTTTTGGGGAGGGCCTTGGTTTTTTTAGGGGTTTATATGTCTAAATAGAGACCCCAAAATTTCAATTTCGGTTTTAAGTTGCGTTAACTGATTATCAATTTATTATCATTATAACAGCTTTAAATTAAATAAAGAATATAATCTAATTTACGGGATACGGTGCTAGATTAGTCTTCAGAAACAATATGGAATCTCAATTATTTACTGAATGTCATTATTCTCGCTTTTCTTCTGGAGGAAGAACGTAATAATTTTTATCGATTATATTTTGGAAAAAAGTCATGAAAAAAAAATTGGATAATCTAATAATTATATTAATTGATAAGGAATATATATGGGTTGGCATTATTTGAAACTTCAATGGAAAGCGGCCTTCCTGTAGATTCTGAATTTCCATCAAATATTATAAAGTCTTTTCCACAAAACATTTCGCATAAACCTCAAAGTCAAAACAAATCAAGTTCGCTATCTAAAATTTTTAATAACAATATTGGATATTTCATAAATTTCTCATATCTAATATTATTGTAAATAGATGCGATAAAACACCTATTTGTAAGTTCGTTCTATGGTATAACATGTTTCGTTTCTGCTACTGGTTATTGGAATACTATTGAGCTTCCCATAAACCAAGATATTGGTAATTTGTTGAAATTATTCTATATTCCTATTTTTTGATCATGTATTTATCACGTATGCGGTTCACTATTATAGGTGAAATAGTTTCAATGGATGCATTTCCTTCCGATCAATCAAACCTAATTTTTACTTTAACAACAGTTCATGCAAGTATTTTCTAATAATACACGTAATTTTTAGATAATGAATCCTTGTTAGTCTTAATTATTCTTTTAACATTATTCATAATAGACCGAAGGTGACGGTCAACATAATTTTACACTTCGAATTTATTCGTTAGATGATGCATCTCAAATGTATATGGAAGAAGCAATATTTAGAATTGCGGGTATATAAAAATGTATAATTATCGAATTGATGATCGGGATGATAAGAAATTTTTGCATTATTCTAATTTCATTTAATAATAATAGAGCAATGCCAAGTCATTAGGATTCCTTTTACACCAATGCAACTTTTTCATACTGGAATAAATATTAATGGGAAATTGAATACATGTCTTCTTTTATGCGGAAACGATGGAGGAGTTCACCTATATTTAAGAGTAAGATTAAACTACTTCCTTTTATTATCGATATTTACCACAAATTGATTCTGAAAAATAAAAAAAAAGAATAAATCTACGAATAAATGGGAAGAGGAACCTGTTCGTTCTTATTTTCCTTTGCTTGCATCATTATCTGAATCAAGTTCAAGGTAAGTTAGATCAAAAAGGAAATAATAACTTGCAATGATATTCTTTTGCTAATTTTATTCATGTATTTAAAGTATATTATCTCTAGAAATCCGAGAAATTGGAGATTTAAAAATAGTTGCTGCAGGATGTCAAAATGGAAGATTATATGTTTCTATCATGAAATATGATTCCTCAGTTGGAGATTTTGGTAAAAGAAATTTTATTTTTTACATGAAACAAATGCTTATTAAATGAATAAATATTGATATAATTTACATCGAAAGTTCCAATGGATGAACCGGCTTTTGTTGTGCTTTTTAGTCCAATAACCTCTATATCAGTCTTCTCTTCATCTTCAAGTAAAGGTTAGTAGTCAATATATGTAATGAAAAGCTGATAATGTTTTAACATTGCGTTATGTTATATTTCCATAGTCAGTTCGGGTGATATTCATATGCTAGTTACTTGTGCTGTCGAACGAGCAATAATCTATTGGTTAGTTTAAATTATTATAATAGTAATTGTGTTTGCTAGCTTAGGTAAATACAATATTCATAGGTACATTTTTTAACTTTTGTAGCAACGTTGATAAAGTATCATTGAATCGCCCAGTATACTTGAAAGAATGTTCTCAATATGATAGTGTTCTTTGTTCTAATATAATGGATGTTGATTGGGATGGAAATAATGAAATTATTATTGGTACATATGGGAGAGAGTTGCTCGTTTATAAACAAGGTTTGTAAAAAGTTTTCATGCTCAAAAAAATTTTTTAACATAATTTCGATTAATATTAATGATTAAATTCTTTCAATTAGTCATTGATAATCACAATGTGTTAACTTTCAAATTAATATGGCAAAGATCATTTAGTCATCCAATTTATCAAATTGCAAATTTAGATTTAAATCAAGATGGTATTGAGGAATTAATTGTGGCTACTCAATATGGAATTCATATATTACAGGTAATTTATTTAAAAAATATTTGATTAGACTTATTTAGTCAGAAATACTTACAATTTTATCATTAGCCAAACTTAGAAAAGGCAAAAACGGAATTACTTAAAGTATTAGAAGACCTTAAGAGTTTAAAAAATGAATTGAAAGAGCTAAAAGAAGAACAATCATCATAAATACATAAATACATAACGGAATTTTTTTTATTATGATCAAAATTTCAAGTTGTCTTTGAAAATTCATTACAAAGTATAATTTAACAACAAATAATTTGTATAAATTTTAATTGTATTAATTGTAATATAAATTACATGAAAAAAACACAATAGTATTTTAATAATATATTTTACGAATTTGACTTATTTAATCCAAGTATTGGTTCAAATAATTTCAAAATCGCATCTTGAAACACATGCTCAGAAAAATGTATGACTGCATGTTCTCTTGCATTAATTTGTATATTTCTAAATTCAGCATCCGATAGAGAAAATACTTTGAATATTTCAGACGCAAATGTTTCAGGATCATTTGCAAGAAATCCTAATGTGAAAATAAAGATATTATAAATTTTAAGTTCTTGAGAATTAAAATAAAAAATATTTATTACCTGTTCTTTGGCCATTATGCGAAATCACTATGTCCATTTTTGGACCACCAGAATTGTGAGCAACAGTAATTATTCCGGCAGCCTATTAAAATATTTATTTTACTCTTACATATAGAAAATCATTAGATATTTAAAACAAGTCTTACCATATACTCAACAACGCCAATTCCAAAATGTTCATTCCACATGGTATGTAATCCAACTTTAGCTTTTGAAAGCCATTCTACAAGAACTTGAAAACTTGCATTTATTTCAAATTTCACATTATCCTACATTAATCAATCCTATTTAAAGTAGCAATAGTAAGAATAATAATAAATATAAAGTAAACACGTACCACAATATTCAATTCTTTGCATTTTTCTCTCAATTTAGCAATCCTGGCATCATCACTTGCATTTCGAGAACTTCCTATTAGCACAAGCTCAACTTTTTCCTTACCTTCTCGGAAGTTAGGATGATCCAATAGCAACTGATGTAATGAACGCAGCTGAAGTAGATGATCTTTTTCTGGCCTTTTGAAACATTAGTAATAATTAATTAAAAACAAAATCATGAAAATAATAATAAATAAGGATCCTACCTAAACTGTGCGACACTGACAATAATTCTCTGCCTTCCATCTAAAGGAAGTTTCGATAGAGCTTCAGTGTCACATGGTGGATAAACTATCTTGCTGTTTACACCCCAAAGTTGATCAATATGTCCTTTTGTCCAGGTTGAGTTGACCATTGCTATTTCAGCGAATGATCCAACAAGTGAATAAAGATATGCAAAAATACGGTAGTACCTGGATGCAAATATGAAACACTCATTTTAATCAATCTTGAGAACAAATGGCTAATATGTACATATAATCGAATTACCATATTTTTCCAATACTAAACACACGACTTCGGGCAATTAAATTATCATTGTTAAATCCTGGACGTCGTTCTTGTACTTTGTTAAGCATGTCTGAACTGATAATTAAGATCAACCGTTTTAATAACATTTTAAGGGGTTTGAAACATCAATTAGAAACATCTAAATATTACACCTTATAGTTGGATAATGCACGTAAGCAGCAACCCTGCATCCAAAGATTTTTTTAGCTAAAGGGTACGTAAACGCGTAGCCCATAGTATCTAAATATATTCTAGTACATGTCAATTATATATATATTTCTCTTTAAAAGACGGTAAAATAAAGGGACCTACTACAAAATCCTAACAAAATTGAGCCAATACGACTAAACTTATCAGGATTTTTGATGGATCCCGAAAAATGAAGAAACAGATAGAATGACTAATCGTACCAAAATAAATATCTGGCGTTAATTTCTTCAAAGCTTCGAATCCAAGAGCAATGGAACCAAGGCTCTGACCCAATAGTGTAAATCTTGGGTATCTGAATCCAATTAAATTTTTTCGTTAGATTTGGATGCAATGATTTTTGAACTTGATTTTATTTACCGATTATCCTCCACCCATTTACGATTATTCAGGAATACAAAGGCTACTGTGTCAGGATTAAGTTCGATACTGAATCGCGTCTAATTATAACCCAATTTAATTATAAAAGATTCAGAAAACGATCGAATCTCATATTTTTTACAAGCATAAAATCTTAATCACCTTGACTTTTTCCAGGATTTCTTCTTTCGTTACATTCGTATCGCCAGTATATACAACACACATTACATTTGAATAATTTTCTTGAATGGTATGGATTGCAGTCCAAAGAACACGTTCCCCACCACCACCTGCATTACTATATGTTTGATCATCTTAGTTTAAATCGGTATTATGCAAGCAATTAACATCGATAGAATACTACTTTAATATTCAGCTGTTTTAAAAATGGTTACCAGTACGGATGAAAAAATCCAAGTATTAATTTTATCGCATCAGATTCGATGGAATCTAAAAATTCTTTTCGATTCTTTACTGCATAAAATGATGCTTTCCGCTTTATGCCACCGTAAATAATAAATAATGTAGAAAATAATCCCAGTATCAGGAGAATTAAATTCGATAGAGTAAATAATATAAACATAGTCCTTTAGTAAAGTTTTTATTAGGTAAACCCGAAATTAATTTAATTAGGGAGAAAATTTAACTGTTTGAATTTGAGATCGACGTTACACGAATATTTATATGGTATGGCGTTGTGAAACCCACAACTTCATGACGAGAAATCAAGTCGCATCTGACATTGCATCGTGTTGTGGGAGGTAAGGGTTTATTAAGAGTGAAAACTATCTGCTCTGATTAATTCACGAAGAGCTTAGCGTTGCTTTTGCATGCCATAATATACCGTAATTATATGGGGTGGCCAGCAGAAAACAAGCAAATTGGTTAAATAAAATTTTTTTAAAAACTTAAGCTTGACAACTACTTAACCAAATTTGATAAATTTTTTTTATTTGAATACTATAAATCTATAGAATTTATAGAATTCAAATAAAAAATTTTTTATTAAAATATTCTTAAAAAAATTTAATAAAAACGATTTGATTATTTTCTACTGACCACCTCATATATATTGATATAATGTATACGCTGCATCGACATTTTCATTTTATACGCGTTATCTCTTAACTAGTTCTATTCACGTCAATTTATAAGTTAGGTATTTAACATTATGTAATGCCTCGATTTCATTTTATTCGCGTCAATTTAGTCGGTAAGCATGAAATTTTCATTTAAAATTACTGTTGATAATTTCTACTTGATTTACGTCAGTTTCTGTAACCTTTTCTTATTTTAGATATTACTTAAATTTTTGTCGACAATTATTTTACATAATCAAGTTATCTTTAGCATTAAATTTAATAGACAGTTTAAATGATTTGCGGTCATTGCAAAATATGTCAAAGGTTCCATGCCGATAAAGCAAAATCAATGAAAAGATGAAAACATAAAGAAATGAAGTTTATTGAATCGAATTTGATTTTGCCTACATAGTAAAATAAGTTAATTTTGAACTTATTAACCACTAAATCACATACCTCGTAATGACAGAAGAAAATAAATAAATAAAAAAATTAGTAACAAGATTACGCATACAACAACGTTATATAATATTGATAATACTAAGTGATAAACTTGCTTGTGCTTGCTTAGGATTCAGTTAGTTGAAACACTGATAAAGTTTTTTAGTTCAACAAGTTTCTAGTAAGAAAAATAAAAATTCTATTTCAATAAGATTTTTAATGTGTATATAACTACGACCCTCGATATAAGAAACCCTTGATTAAGAAAGACTTATTAAACCTTCGATATAAGAAAGTTAAGCTAAGACTAGGGATGGGTTCGACTACGAACGGCTACGATTATTCATAGCCAATTTGCTCAATAATGAGATGATTTTTTGTTCAAGAGCTTTTAATTAAAGTTGTTCAGAATTAAATTCTGGTCATCCCATATTATAAGTAGAAAGAACGATACCTTCTCTGGAACTCTGAATTTTAAGATTTGTTAACGCCATAGCCGACTATTAACCGGCGGCTAGTAGCCGGCTATGACGTTACAATCTTAAAATTCAGAGTTCCAGAGAAGGTATCGTTCTTTCTACTTATAATATGGGATGACCAGAATCGTAGCCGTTCGTAGTCGAACCCATCTCTAGCTAAGACCAGTTTGTAATAAATTCATTTAATATAAAAAACTATTAATAAACTTCCGAAATAATAAAGATTTTTATTATAGACCCGACTACCTTTCTTATATTGAGAGTTACTTGTATAATACTTACTATTTTGGTATAAAGTTTAGCAAATATAAAGTTACCATTAATTATCAATCGCACCTATGGTGGTCTTGCATCTATTGTATGTTTTTATAGATTTTTTCTAAGATTTTATAAATTTTGTATACAAAATTTAGCCAAATTTTTCATGTTAGGGTTAGCATTTAGATTGTATTTAAGGTTAGGCTTTTGGGAGCGTAGAGCATTTTTACTTGGAGCGCCACATATTGGTTAATTAGCCAGTTTTTAAGATAATGTAACAATAAGTGGTAAAATACCATACATAGGCACGTTTTAATAAAAGCGAGGTTAATTTTAGCAATATAAAAATTAACTTTAACCGACTGTTTCGATAAAATTTATCAAAAGTTGTAAATAATAAGTTATTATGAGTAATAATTATTCAAATAAATTATCTGCATAGCATTAAGTATTTTATAGATCATAACTGAATGTGAAAAGCTTCATTTTACACTTATTATGCACAATACACATTCGATAACTAATAGACTTAACATACCATTTTTGAATTCGGCACTAGTTAGGTTACTATCCTAAGTGAAATAGAGATCAGATTCTCAAACCTAAACTATGCTATAATACTATAATTCAAGAGAAAAAAAGGTTTCGGGTCAAACCCTCCAGAACTGAGGCATCTCTTATTATTTTTAATACAATTCGTTAGAAGAATTCCACACAATTTAAGTCCTTCCAATTTTTCTAACTTAGCCATTTTCTCTTCAACGGTTTTTCGCAATGACGAAATTCTAGAATTAAGACTTTTTTTAAAAATTAAATTAGTATGATAAAGAGTTAATCGAAAAATAAACAAGATGATGATACTTTTTTCAATATAGGTTTTCATACTATTCTTACCAAGATTTTTCTTTTTCAGTTTATATAAACCTCTCTATTTGCATTTCGAGTTCTAGCATAATCTATAATCTTTAAGAGAAACATTAAATTAAAAAATATTCATATCAATTGCTTATTTGTAATATATCTTCAGCAATAAGCTCACGTTCTGCAAGAACTAAATAATGAAAATAATATGAATAAATGAAAAGTTTAAAAGCCTACATACTTGGAATATATTACATTTTCAAAATTAGAAGAATAGACAATATTACACCAATTTATGTGACCTCTCAAAACCGATAAGCATGGTGAAGATTTTTGTATCATTTTATCAGATTTGACAGGTTATCGATTTTGACAGGACAGTAAATATATTATTATTATTATTATTTTAATATTACTGTTAAAACATTAATATTATTTATCTTCATTTTTGCGTTGAATTTTATGCCAGCTAATGATAGATGCAGACTGTTTTTTTTGGTTTCGAGTAATGTATTTTCAAGTTATTCATATTCATTAAATTCTAATGGCATAAGTTCATTTATATGCAGTAAAACCTCTATAAGTATATACACTTGGAACCAAACTTTAAGAACGAGCAATATGAAAAAGTGTATTTATGGAGGTCATATATACTGTATGTTTGGACCGAACTTGAGTGTGCGTTTTAGTGAGGGTTACTTACAGAGGGTGCACTTATGTAGGTTTAATGTAATAGATATTATTAAGACTTTATTAAATAGGTTTTTTTTTAAAATATTAGTTATTATGAAAGGTAAATTTTTCTTTAAAAATATTTATTGACAAAGTTTGAAATAAAAAGATCTTGAATTAAAACTTGAGATCATCTTAATTCCAAACTGCAGATACAGTATTTCACATCCACTTACAATACTTATGTTCATATTCTCATCATCTTTAAATACTATCTTTTACTAGATAAGTTTTAAATTTTACATTTTAACCTTTTTTTGAAAGAATCTCAGTAAAATAATTAGAATCATCACTACTACACTATAATTATTTTTAAATTTATAACTCTTTTTAAATAAAGGTTTACAAAGTCGGCTAGTAGACTTATTATTGAAAAACTAATGTAACAAAAAGAATATTCTTAAAACGCGGCCATTCTTTAATAAACCGCGTTTTAGTTTTTAGTTTCATTTAAGTATAATTAATTATAAACCGCAGATAATGTAGAGATTCATAACTGTGGCGAATTTATTTTATAAGAAAACCTTGAGACTCTTGTAAGAAAAGCTATTGATCATTTAAAAGCTTCCCATCTACTATAAATATTAAAATATTCATTTTCTAACTCACTGTCACATTACACGAAAATTGATGCACACGAGCTATAAAGGTAAGCATTATATGGTGAGAAACGATGATATTTAGAATTCTTTCGTATTTTTTACCATGATATCCTTCCTTTTCTTTTGCATTATCTAACTTTTCACAATGCTGTATATCACCAAGTTACGATATAATCATACAGCAATACCGCAATTCAGTAAGTTCGCCGTCGATTATAATCATAACTCGCAAAAATGAATCCATTATTAGAAAAACTTCGCGTTCTCTTATAAGGTGATATTCAATTGTCCTTAAAATTATATCTAACCGAGGTCCTCTAGGGAGTATAGAAGTAATCTATCATTAAACATAGAGGATTCTTTTATAAACACGACATATATAATATTCCTTAATTATTGCTTCTTACTTAAACCAAAATTAAACCAAAATTATAATATTCTAACGCCTTTATATTCAAATTTCGAAAGTATTTTAAATGTAAAGGGTTCACCATAACAATACTATAGAACAACAGAAAGTTACCTTCTTAATATATTTTGAAAATTCTTTAGATCATATCGTATCATGTGACATTAAGTAAGTCAAAAGATAAACGTAGGAATTTCTAACCCGTTATCGCGATATATGACTACTAAAGTTCGGCAATATTATCTTGGGTAGAAGATAAATGATCCATGTGAAGGAGGAGCTCTCACTGATTCAATACAAGGTAATATGTTAACATAACGCGAGCTCTGATAGTAAAAAATTACTGCGGAAATTATATCGCTCTATTACTCGTTAATTAGAAGGAATTAAGCTCTCATTTTTTGTATTTAGATATTGTAAAGATTGATGTTTAATATGAGCTTAAAAAATAGAATGGTTAATTTACCCGTTCGTGAGATATGAATTTTGGGCACAGTGAAAAAACCAGAAATCGGTTACACAAGATTCACACTTAGGTTAAAAGTAGGTTACATGCCTGGTTACGCATATGAAATTTAGGTTACTTTTGGTACAAATTGATCCAAATTTTGTGCGCCCTATTATACGGAAAAGTCAAAACGCGACAAAATCGCTTGCATTATTTGTATGAGGAAAGAAAATCAGGGAAAAAGCAGATTGAGGGATGGTTAAGTTTTCTG